TTCCCTCCTAAATCCGCCCCTGCCCTCAGATATTACAATTAATACAGATGTTGGTTTCGTTCAACACTATTCGCTATGATTAGGCTTCAATGGATTTCCGCAATTTTGGCATTTCAAAAATACTTGCCTTTTTACTTTATTCGCATAAATTTTGCTTTGGCCTGAAAAGTTTGGTATGCCCTAGTTAAACATTTTCCGCCAAGCTCTGGGAGCCTCCCAATGAATCTCTTAGAAAAAGTTTTCCTCTTTCTCTGACGACTGCGAGTTAGAGTGCTTAACTCGAACGCCTGGTTTCCCTACACAGTTGTTTCATTACTTCTTCGTTTTTCATGATGAATAGAAAGACACCCTCAAAGTCGTACCTTCGGGTCAAATCACTGAGGGCGCCAAAAAACTATTCCATAATTTCATTTTCCCTCTGTTTCCGGCCGGATAATGTAAGTCTTTTGTTAGTATAGTTTGCGTCTTTCATGAATACTACCGATGCTAGTTTCTAAAAATCTATGAATTTAATATCTACTATTTTCCGGGGTATATTTCTTGTAAAATTACCAGTCCTTGTTTTCGTAACGATAAAAAAAGATCCTAACCAATTATCCGTTTCTCCCGGTTACGCCTTTTGATCATTCTTCGCTCGTCAACTCGCCATGCTGCTATTGCATTGAAGCTCTTCGTCTTTCTCTCTGTCCGTGCTGCCTAGTCCTGGGTACTTAGAAGTTCTTTGAAAGTACGGCAATTGTTTTCCGGTAATGCGCTTACTTCTAATAAATCCTCAACGTCAACCTCCTCTTTCGCGATAACTACCATTCAGATTTTCAGGATCTGATCTTCCCATGGGAGCGGGGTCCCTGGAACTGTCCATTCCAAAAAACAACAAAGCCAAGATAGCTCTAATACCTTTGTGACTGCTCCATGTAAAAGTATGCGCATGCACAACTTACAATTTAAAATAAGATAATCAACTTGAATTCTTGAGCCTACGCCAGCCACTGGCTGGACGCACCATAAGTAAGCATTACACCGTTGACCTTGAGAGTCATAAAACATTAAGTAAAATTATATGTACATTAAATTATATGACGTGTCTCTACTCTTTTGTTTCCAATTTTTGAAATTTCAGGTTTCTGAAATGAAACTTTTTAGTATCACAGCGTGCTGAGTTTTTCTTTTTTATTAGGACAGAGATAAAAATTATTACTTCGTAGAAATGGTAAAAACAACTACCAATAACTGACACCTCCGTATGAAACAATAACACAGGATAAGTCTCATTAGCAAGCATCAAGCTTTCGCTTTTTTTGGAACATATTTTTCTCCATATTGTTCACTCACAAAAAAGGATTAAGGTTTTAAAATTGAAAAATAAAATAGATTTAAAATTGAAAAATAAAATACTATAAGCCTCCATGCAACTCCCGCAACAAAAAACCTGTATTCTAGAAAAGACGCATTTTAGATCTGCTTTTTCGATGTCGCGAAATCTTTTGACGTTTTTAAAGTGCTTTTTTTGATTTTTCAAAGGAGGATTCTCGAATTGCCAAAAAAATGAAGCTTCAAATTAAGCAGAAATCTGAAACATACTTTTTGGTTTGATAATTCATTTGCAGTTTCAAAAATTCATCAAAATTCATGGATGAAACAATTTTTCAGCTATGCATCCCATTTCTCATAAAACACAGTGCGTGTTGTTCCAATTATGGGAAAAACTGATAAAATAAATTGTTTTGCTATGTATCCCATAAAAATCAAATATTCCTCACAAAACAACGGGGCCTGTTGTTCCAATTCTTGAAAAAACTGACAGAAAAACTGTGCTGGGGAGATTTTTTTGGTCATTTCTTGAATTTTAAACAAGGCGTCTATAACGAAAAATTAACTAACTTGATAAAAATTGTTGTCTTGAGCTCAAACTTAGAAAGAAGTTTTTTTAATTGAATTTTTTCTAGATTAAATTTTGAATTCACTAATTTGACCAATTTGGGATTATAGACGCGCACTAAATTGCATTTGTATAACACGCGTAAACGGCAAGTTGAATCGTTCCAAATTATAGGGTCATTTACAGTCGTTCACTTTTTTAGAATACAAAACGTTAAATACAATCCGTTGTAATTTGCTGAGCATGAGTGGGAGTAAATTTAAATAATTAAAAGTTTTTGTACCTTCTTTTTAAAATAATTAATCAATTTTTTTAATTACAAACTTTTTAAATGTATTCTTCAAACTTATTCCCACTCATGCTGAGTAAATTACATAGAGTTGTATTAAACGTTTTAGTTTCTAATAAAAAGACTGAACGACTAAGAAGGACCTCAAGTTAATTTGGAACAATTACGCGTGTAATACGAATGCAATGTATTGCGCGTCTATTTTCCCAAATTGGTCAAATTACTGTTTTCAAAATTTTAACAAGGAAAAAAATCAATGATAAAAAACTTCTTTTTTTTTACGTTTGAGCTCAAGACTTGCCACTTACGTGTGTTATACCAATGCAATGTTTTGCGCGTCTATTTTCCAAATTGGTCAATTTAATGTTTTCAAAATTTAATAAAATTCAAAAAATCTATTAAAAAAAATTCCTTTCTAAGATTGTGCTCAATTTTTTGTAGTTTACTTAGCACGATTGGGAATAAATTTAAATATAAAAAAGTTTTAAAACTTTTTTTTTAAATAATAAATCAACTTTCTAATTAAAAACTTCTTAAATGGCCTTCAAGTACAGTCGGAACAACCAGGGCTTCGCCCCGAAACTCGAGATGTCCTGTTCTGTTTTAGCATATTAGAAGCTAAGCAAGACTGCTGGTAAATAAGCATTTAAGGATTCGATTGCACCCTAATGCCATTTCAAAGTCTTTTAAGCTAAAAAAAAAATTGACAACAAAATCGATAAACCGTTTATTTTTTTCTCAACACACGCAATGCACAAATGGATATGTTTAGCAACTCTTATCCTAATAATCAGACCAAATTACTTGCCTCGTTTCAGTTTGTATTGATAAAGCCCACCACTTATGCGTGAGTTAAAAATCCAATATATTGCGCGGTTAATATCTTAAAATGGCCAATTTTTAAAAGTCCCATCGTTTTGCGAAAAACTAACACAGGTGAAAAAATACTTTCACTTTCAGCTGAGAACAACAATCAACAATACCTTTTGGAAGATATAGAAAAAAATCTCTCAAAATTGGCTGTTTAAGAAAGTGAACTTTGTCAGGAGAAAAAACCGCCACGAGCTCAAACTCAAAAAATACTTCATCCGTGATCTTTTTTGTAAATTTTTGGGGTTTACAAAATTCCAATTGGCCAATTTCCGACGTTTAACGCGCAATATACTTCGGTTTATGGACATTTAGGTGGAAATTTAATTGTTTCGATTCTCAAAGAAAGCGGAATATTTATGCTTGGTGCTTTTTTTTATTCAGTCAATTTTTGGCGATCGAAATGAAAATTTTAAGCAACAAATTTTTTTCCCAATTGAGGATTTGAGCTCCCTGAAATCGAAATTTAGAAAAAATATTTCACCTTCGATCAATTTCAAGAGTTTGAAAATTGTCAATTTGGCTATGCTCTGGACTAATTCAAGGGCTCTTTGAAGATTTCATCCATAATCCCGAAAGCGTAATGCGAACTGTTTATGCGTGGCCAATTATCCCGCACAACAAAATCGTTCCAAGGCTAGCTAATTGGTCCTATTAATTTCGCACGACTTAAATTTTGATATTTGATATTGTCCAAATTTCCCGGGTTGACCGAAACTTCTTATCATACAATTTCCATATACGAGAAACTTCTTGTCATACAATTTCAAACAACTCCATATGTACAGAAAACTGTATGAAAACTCTATGATAAGCATTTTTCCATTTATGAAAATTGTATGATAGGTGTTTTTCCATACACCAAAAAGTTGACTTTTTGTTTCTAAGTATAACTTCTGAAAAAATTTTGGATTGCGTTTGTAACTTAACACAAGTGACAAAGACTTTGGTTTACTCAAAGCACCGAAGGTTGAATGATCTTGCATTTACAATGCTTAGAAAACGACCTGAATTGTCGTAAAGCGGTTTTTCACAAATTATATAACAAAAGTAACAAAATTTTGAAATTTAGCAAAATTTTTCAAAGATGATTATTTAAAAATTTGAACCTTTAAATTATCAGACATTGATCAAGGCATACATAAACATACCATACAAAAGAAATAGGAGTTTTCAGTGTTTTTGAAAAAAAAATTATACCGCGAAAAGGAAAAAAACCTACATTATTGTATCCGGGACTACGTTATGCACACAAAAAACTAAATTTTGCATGCAAAAAAGTTATTTTTTTGGAAAATGTTTGCGTACAAAAAACGATTTGCAGTAGAAAAAAAAACATTTTTGGAAAACTTTTTTGTGTCGCCATCAAAAAAACGTCAGTCATACAATTTCCATAAATGAAAATTGCATGATAAGCATTTTTTTCAAAAACGAAAACCTCGGTTTTTTTCTCACCAGACTATTTTATTAGAATCAAACAGCCACAGAAATAAGTTTATATCATTTTTCAAGCAATTTTAGAAATTGTATGAAAATTGTATGACAAGCATTTTTCCACACACTTGATTTATGGAATTGTCGGCATTTTCGGTGTATGGAGGTCAATCCGGGTTTATAGTTTTCAACATTTTCCCCCAAAAACTATTCGATATGGATTCAGGGTCTGTCGGAACCCTTCTGGGCGTTGCCCTACTATACGAGCACTCTTTTTCGACATTTTTTTAGGAGTCACACTTTTCCGCGCGCGCTTCCCTCACAATTAACACAAATTACTCTTTTCGAAAAGTTTTACGGTCGCTCGATAGAAAATGACATCGTAAAATAGTACCAAACAGATGCCTTTGAAAATTTGGCAACCAGAATTGAGTGTAGCGGTCAATCAAAAATGAAAAATGATCACATAGCATGTTTCTAAAACTAAGATTTATCATCAAACTATTTCAATTATTTGGCAATACTAACCTGTCTCCTTGCATTTTGGACAACGCTGAAGAAATCCGACATGTTTTGTTTTGTCTACAAACTGATGTTTTATTTGGGTAATATTTGATGTTTTATTTGGGTAATAATGAAATCAGAGCGATATTTAAGGTACCTTAGTCTTGCAAGGGGGAAAATAGGAATAGAAAATGGTAATATTTCTAATTAGCTGACGTCTGTGCGAGTTCAGCTGCGTGAAATGAGATGCTGACGAGAACAAAACGGTAACAGGTAACAGTTATTATACGATTATTGTAATACGCTGTTTTATAGTTGAGAAATGACAAAAGCCACCTGAAGTATTTACAAAAAAAACTGAAGTTTCGTCAAAGTGAATTAAGTTTGTTCAAAGCACGTATGGAAGTTTGACGGAGCTAAATGATGCCATAAATAAGAGTAAATTTTGATATGATACAAATTCAAAAGATGGAAACTAACGGCGTTCATTAAAAATTGATCTGAAGGAGCGGCAATCATTCGCTAATTTCTCAAATATGGTCTTTAAATTATTCACAACATTAAGGCCTAGAAACTGAACACCGCACAGGAAAATTACTTGCTATTTCACATGACCAAACAAGCACCAGAACGCAAAATAAAAACGTTCACCAATAATTATTCAACGTCTCGTTTGCTGAAACATTAACAGCTAAAAAGGTTTCTGACAGCCTTTTTGTGGCTAATTTTAGCTATTTAATCAGTGAAATTTTCCTGAAAATATTACAACTATGAAGCACGTGGTTTCGATTGACTTTGGGATGGAAATGAGTAGGAGTAAAGGTGGGCAATTGACTATGAAAACTAAATGGATTGCCGATTTTTTTTTGTTGATTGTTTTTCCTATTTGCTTATTTTCTTAGCTGATTTTTAGGAGCTTTCATATTGACCTTTTAACCCCTTTTCTTAGTCCTCCTTCAAAGCATCTCGGCAAGAGAGCGTATCTCTTTTTCCATAAAGCTCTACTGTCAGAAAATAGGGAAAAGTACAAGCAATAACTGCGAGAACATGTCAATCAGGACAGTTGTGAACACCTTCCATCAATATGCTTTTCAGTTGAATCTCTGAAAAGGTCAAATCACTAAAAACGGAATCACTAAAATCGGAAAAAGTGTACAATTTTCCTAAAAGCCAAAAGAGCTAAATAAAATTAAAAAAATATATATGGGCGGCTTTCAAGACCAATTTTCAATTCGCGCTCGTAATCAAAAAGCTTATCAAAATTCACTAATAAACATTCAAGATTTAAAAAATAGTTCAAAATTCGAACCTCCTTTCCTGTGAAGAACAAAGTTGCAAGATAAAAAGGTATTATATTTCTCACAGAGAAATTTGAGAGATCTAGAGATCGGGAATTGGTGGTAATTCGAGAAGTATCTGTGTTCCCAGAGCAGACTTCCCCCTCCCAGATAAAAAAATGGCGGTCGTTCATTCAAATGATTATCAATCAATAAATTAGACAAATGAGAGAATAGAAGATTGGTTTTATCATTCATGAAGATCTGAATGTGTGAACTTTTGATAAGATAACTAGGAGAAGTAATTTAAAGATGTAGGCGTTTTCATCGAAATAGTTTTAAAAAGAACTCTGTTTTCGTCAACTCTTGGCTTAGTCTATTTTTTGGTGACGGGCGGTTTAGCAACTGCTTCACAGTAATTCTTTTTTTTAAATGAATTGAAATAAAAACGCGGCGAAGAAGTTAACTGGAGGAGAAGAAATTGTTATCTACATTTCGTTGGTATCAAGTTCAAGTTTAAACCTCAGTGATCAAAAAGTTTTGGCAAATTTAAGTCCTTTTCGTAAAGAAGAGCTGAAAAAATTGGTTTTGGTCAGGGGGTGCGGATTTAGGGAAGGGGGCGGGGGCGTGCGCCATTCCTTCAGGGATTTGACCCCCTGACAAGCCAAAGGGACGAACCAATGAGATTTCAATTGTAGGCTGACACACCCTAAAACTTTTCTAAAGACGCTTTTGCCGCCAATATTTATTAAGCTTGAGGAGGAAACGTGAGCCAAAAAAACGCGATTTTTTTATCATAATTTTCCAAAAAGTGCCTACAAACGCCTTTTTTGGCATGATTTTTCACAATTTTGTCTGTGGCGCAGAAAAAAATGCCCAAAACAGGGTCTTCTTAGTGCTTTGGGAGAGCTCGGAAAATCAGTTTAGTCAACCTAAAAAAAGTTAGATAAAATTTTCGAAAGTTTTTTGAAAATCAGCCCCCGTTCTCGTGAAACTCCTAGAACCACGCCTAGTCATAACACCATGACTATCTTTATTTTAAGAACTTTTCCGAGGTTGACCATCATAAACTGAAAATGCTAATCAAAAGAATTCATTTGACCTTGTGGAAAAAGCTAGTCACGAAGTTGCGTTACTGCGGTAATTAAGTGATTTGAATGACTATCACTTTAAATTTCACAAAAATAGGAATCGGTTACAAAAATTTATGTTTAAAAAAATTCAAGTGCTAATAGAACATTCGAAGCTATAGAAAACACTAGCTTTGGGAGTTGGTGTTGATAGTAACCAGAGGAACTCTGCTTGGAATAAGGAAACTGAAAAACACAGAAAAAAACTGGAGCGAAAAACGATTCGTTTAAAAAAATTAGAAATTTTGGATTCTCCTAATTTTTCTTGCAAAAACGAAAAGAAAGCATTATAAAATTCCTCCTACCGCTTCTACATTATGGGAATCTTATGGTTATCGTTTGAAAACAATGCAAGCTATGAAAGCTAAACTGAAACAGAAAGCTGAATTTTTTTGAGCTTATGAATGACAGAACTCCTAATTATGAGACTCATAAACGTTCATCAAAGTGAAACAAGAGTAGCCAAGGACTGAAAATTAATGAAATCGAGCAGGCGCGGATCTAGGATTTGTCCAAGAGGGAGGGCGGAATTTTGGAAAAACAGTAGCAAAATTGAATTCAAAAATCAACAGTTTTTACACAAACTTATACAAAATTGAGTCTGCGATTTTTCGCGGCAAATTTGTCTATGACATCAAGAACATTTATTCGACTTCTTTATGGATATATTTTAAAGCTAAACTCAATAAGTGATGTTCCTTCATAATAGATCAAGGGAGTTCTTCAGCAGTCTCATAGTGGAGAAGAAGCGTTCTGCAGTGCAAACTGAAACTGAAAGGGTTGCTCCAATTTGGAGCAGTGCATAAACAACTGGTATTGTCGACTTATGACAGATTTTCAGGGCACCAGTGAAAACTTCTGATATAACGCTGTAAGGGGAAGCGCCACATGTTCCTGCAGACTTGGAATTTGCTGCCAAATTCGCCATCCGGCAGTACGTTCTGATATAGATCGACCAAGTCATCAAAATCTTCTTCAGTTGCATCTTTGCCCAAAATCCAGCGAGGAAGGAGCTTGCACACTTGGGAGCAAGACGCGGCAGCCGGTAATAACCCTTCCTGCAAGTCTAACAGAACGAATGAAAGCCAGGTAGACACTCTGACGGAAATGATCGTAGGCTGATGTAGCTGTAGGAGGCCGGCCTCTCCGACCCTCTAGTTGTACATCATCACTTGTAGCAGCGTCAGCATGATGGATCCTTTGATAGCAACCACTGCCTTCACCGTCCAGCCTTTGCTGGAAGAGAAGACGCAAATTTTTTGTGTTCAACGGCTTGGGGAATGTTCTAGAGCTGGGCTTTGGAGAGTAACACCGGTGGTTTTGAAGCAGCTAACACATGTTTTATGCTCATCTATGCCATTTTAAACTCTGATCGTAATATTCCAGCAAGGTACGCGCTGCAGTCTGAAGCACAACTTTCGTCAGGCCAGTTGCAGATGTCTTCAAATGTCGCTTCATCGACTGGCAGAAGCTGGAGGAACTTCAAGACAGGATCATGGCGCTCAACCCCTTTCGTATCAGGGAGCTTGGGAATAGCTGTTTTGCCGAAATTTGGCATAATCTTTCGTATGTGGCGCAAAAAGCATCCGAAGGCTTAGCTTAGTCACGGAGGAGAATATAAAACTTGAAACCAAGGTGAAGGCTTGCAAGATTGGTAGGACCATTGAATATTGACCAGAGTTAGGTTGAGGCAATGGGCAGTGCTGTGCAGATACATGGCTGCTGGGTACTGCTCTTTGATGATTGCTTATACTCCTCCACGATCACCAGACCTTGTGGCTGCCCCATTGTAGCTCTGTCCAACCCAGCAGGCTTCTCCTACTCCAGCTGATGAATTCCGTGTCAAGATGATATTCGCAAGTATTGTTGCCTTCGTGTCGAACGTGTCAACAAAACCTTTCAATTACTCTCGGACCTCGGTGACATCACAGTGACCAGTACCGGACAGAGATTGAGACCTGCTCCGTTCTTGAGATGCCAGTGTTTCGTCAGCAATCACAGTGAAGTATTTCGAAGCGGAAGTACTCTAGATACGATACCATCAATGATGATGCTCCTTATGATGTTAAGTAGCTGGTTTTGTGGCTGGTAGTTGATATAGCTGGCATTCCGTCGACATTTGTCCAGATGTTGCACCAGAACCTGGTCAACGCTTGCTGCTCGGAATTGAAGAAGAGCCTTGAAGTTTCCAGATGAGGCATTAATGGACCCAGTCGAGTCTGGGATTAGGAGAACTCCGTCATTTCTGTGGCCTCGGAAGAGAAGTCCAAGTCGAGCAGTAAAGATAATTGTACTGATGATCAGCGCCAGAAACTGCCTGTTTCTCTCCATTTTTTGGTAACCGCTCGGACCAGTGAAACATCGATGTGTCTTTCTGGTGCTTGACTGAATATTTATAATAAAAAAGTGTTCTGGATCTCCGCTTGAACTGGTTGTATTTGCACGAAAAAGCATCAAAGTTTCTTACGGCATTTGAAAACTATAATCAATCTTGCAATTAGCAATCTTAATCAAATCGTAGCAGAAACAGTTTTCCATGTCAGCAATTCTTCTAACAGAACCATTGAAATTGTGATAAATGGCTTTTTGTTTTTAGTATAATTTTTGCGTTGTTTGAGTTTTTGTATTTATTATGCACAGATATTTTTTTGACTCAATGAGTGTCTGTATAATTTTTGTTGGCTTTTTTTACTTCGTAATTGTTGTTTAGTTTTTTTTTTTGGTTATTTTGATGTACTTATTTTGTATCGCAGATTATGCGATGCAGCTACTTGCCTCTATAAAATTATACAATAAAGAGTTAACCGTTTTCTTAAGCATTTCCCCATTCTGACCAAAAAAAAATCAACTATGGTCAAACAAATTTGAACAAGATCATCACCTGAAAGAAAGTGAAATTTTTGTGGAGGTTTGTGAATATGACTGTCGTAACGGTACAAAACACTCAATGGTACAATTGACTATTTATATTTTTGTACAAACTTTGCAAAATAATGTCAAAAAGTTCAAAAAATTAATTAAAAGCCGGGTGAAATTAGAGACGGGGATGCCCCCTTTTCTTCAAGGATTCAATCTCTTCGCCGTAGAAAAAAATGCCCATGAGTAATTTTTTAACACTTCATTTTTTTTTTCAACCGAAAAAACTAATAGCTCAAACTATTAGGGAGGTTGTCCACCGGAAAAACCCTGTTTAATTTAGAAAACCTTCCAAAAAAACCCCACAAAATCTCAGAATGTTAGCAGACCAGTTTTTGCCTATGGTTTTTAAGCCAGCCAAAGAGCGGATGTTATCATTTAATTTTTTGCACGAATAAATCTTGAATTTTGATTAATTCTAAAAAATGTTTGTCTTCGTTTTTTTTTAATTTTCAATATGAGAAACAGAATATTCATTATTTGAAACTTCAATTCAGCGAAAGGAGTAAATGA